TAACCTTTCTGCTCTTGTTGCTCAGGCGTTCTCAGTTGAGTGCTGCGATTCTGCTTGGTTCACGATCACGTTTAAAAATAGGATGACGCTTCTGAAGATGCTTTTTATCAAGTTGAAGAGTTGATAGCCCCGGACGATGGCTCCTTTGGCATCGTTTGTATGTTATTTCATCGCCCTAGAAATCATGGAATCCGTGCTAACTTTTCACGACCACAACTTCTGTAAATTACATGTACGCATGCACAGGTGAGGCATGCACTTTAGAGACCAGACGGCGATTTGTGACTGAACGTGGAAAAGAAAAGAAAAAAAAAAAGAAGCCGAAATTTACACCCAGGCCTCACTGCCTGGGTAAATAGCAGATGGGTTTAATTGCTAATCTATTACATACACGGGTACTAAGAAATAACTAAAACAGAGAATGCATTTGATTTTGCACATAATTTTTTTGTCAATTTTTTAAAAGAGTTATATGATTTTAATATTTTAAATTCCTTTGGCAACTCATTCCAGATTTGGCCTCCTCGCAGCTTGAGTAAAAATTTCCCATAGTTTATTCTTTTAGAGTCGATATGTATGTTTGATGCAGATCGTGTATATATTGTGACTATGTATTTCTTTGTATAATATAAAATAATTAGCAAAATAATTTGTTAGGTGGCGATTAAAGTATGAATACATAAATAGCGCAGTTAAGTATGTGCTCAGCTCATATATATTAACTTAAAGCTAATTAAGTTGCGGTAATATCGGTCTAGATTCTTCATTATATTTAGTAAAAGTCATAAATCTAACTATTTTTTCTGGGTCAAAAATAATAACTTAAGCCTGGTTTGATACATGCTTGTCCAAATGATATTGCAATAAGTTAAGTATGGATACACCATAGTTTCGCAAATTCCAAGAGACACTGAGATAATGCCTTGCCTTAGCCATGACTCCTGTCAGTTTTGATATTTTACTTGTAACTTGGTCAATGTTATATTTCCATGAGAGTTCCTCATCTAGGCACAAACCTAGGTTCTGTTTAACTATCTCACTTGGTTGTTCATTTATCTTGATTGAAACCTTTTGGCTTAATTTCCTTCCTTCCGATTTAAAAATTAGGAAATATGTTTTCTTGATATTTAGGAAAGCTTATTAGCAGAAAGCCAAGACGCAACTTTCTGGAGCTCCTGATTCATAATTCTTTGTATTTTATCTATACTTTTGTGACTGAGGAACCAATTAGAGAATGACTGACAAAACTTCAGAGCACTAAGAAGTATCGTTCATTTAAATAAGAAAGAGAAGAGGCCCTAGAACAGATACCGGTGGCACTCCACATTTGATTGTTAATTGTTCTGATTCCATATATTTATATTTTACTCTCTGTTTACTATTTGTCAAATAATTTTTGAACCATTTTGAGACGACACCCCTAATTCCATAGCGCTCAAGTTTTTTTCAGTAATATTTTGTGATTAATAGTTTCAAACGCCTTCGGAAGATCTAAGAACACTCCAATAGCGTATTCACCATTTTCCATTGTTTGCAATATCTTAGTAACTAGTAGAATAGTTGCTAAATTTGTTGAGTGTTTCTTGCGAAAACAATACTGACTTCGGAATATTTTATTCTCATCAAGGTATTTAATTATTCTTTTGTACAGGATCTTTTCTAGTACTTTACCAAAGCAGGGAAGGACAGAGATTGGCCTATAATTAGTGCATTCATTCGTTCCACTGCTGTAAGCTGATGAAGGTCTGAAGATGGAACGTTTTTAATAAATGTGCAATTTTTACACATAGCCTCAGAAGTTATCCGTCCATTGGCCTCTTTTAACTCTTGTTTTTGTCTGCACTTGCCGTGGCTTGAACTTAGAATCTTTTCAGGATCCTTCTGAATGCTTCACGTCGTCGTTGGCGCAGGCAGCCCACTGAAAATTCTTTATTTATGTACATACATACAC